AAATGGGCCAGATCTATTTCATAGGGTTGTTGGTTAGGACTTTGATGTGTAAATCTGTTCATTGGTGTTCATTCACTTTTCAGTCATGACTTTTCATGACCTCAATTGGGGTTTCATAGGCAAAGATGCTAGAGTGGTTTGCCATTTCTTTCTCCAGCTTATTTTACAGATGAGGAAACTGAGGCAAACAGGGTGAAGTGACTTGCCCAGGATCACACAGTTAGTGTCTGTAATACCTCTTACCAAGCTGGGGAGAACACACTCAGAGGGGTGCTAGTTTCTCTGGATATCTCTGTGGTTTCTGGTCAGGGCAGCTGGGTGAGGCAGTGAATAGAGTGCTGGGCCTAGAGTCAGGCCCCAAATGAGGTCACTTTTATACTTCAGATGAATTTTAAAAAACAGAGGTAACATTTGTGGTCTTAGTCAAGGTAATAATAAAAATTGACATAGTTAAAAGACAGGAGGGTGATGCTGAAAGGCATCATAGGTAATGAAATAACATCCATACTTCCTCTGTGTGTGTGTGTGTGTGTGTGTGTGTGTGTGTGTGTGTGTGTACCAAATGGATTGGCATCTAATAGTGTTATTGTTGTTCATTCATTTCTGTTGTGCCCAACTCTTCTTGACCCCATTTGGAGTTTTCTTGGCAGAGATGCTGGAGTGGTTTGTCATTTCCTTCTCCAGCCCATTTGACAGATGAGGAAACTGAGGCAAACAGGGTTGAGTGACTTGCCCAGGGTCACACAGCTAGTAAGTGTCTGAGGTCAGACTTGAACTCAGGTCTTCCTGACTGCAGGCCAGGCGCTCTAGCCTAGCTGCCCATGAAAAGATGGAAAGATAGAGGCTATCAAATCCCACATCCCACCTTCATTTTGCACATGAGGAAACTAAGGCAAAGAAAAGTAAAGTGACTTGCCCAAGATCATAAAAACTAGGAAGTGTTTGAAACAGGATTTGAACACAGGACTCAACATCCAGTATCCTAGATGTGGATCAGAATGGTGGCTCCAGTCCCGGCTTCATGGTTCAGATCCATTCCCTGGGTGGGTGGAGAAGGGGCCAGGGATCATAGAGGTAGGGTATTCCATCTCTGCAAATTGATGTCCTACTCATTATCTTCCAGCGTCCCCATTCAAAATCACCTCCTCCAGGAAGTATTCCCTGATTCCAAAGTTGGAAAGGCTTTTTATTTTTTTCCCTGCTTTTCTCTCAAAGCACTTTTGTAGTTTGGGGAGGGAGGCTGCTCATCCATGTCATCGTGTCCTTTAGGCCTGAATTTGTCGAGAGCCCAGGCCGGCCGTTGGCATCTTCAAGTTCTGTGGATTGTCTCTGTTTGCCCTAGGCTTTCACACCTGAGCCCCCAGCTCTGACCAAAGTTTCATTACACTCCAGTCAAAGGTCTGCACTTGAGGACCCAGAGGGACACATGTGGCCTCGAGGCCGCAGGTTCCCCACCACTGTTAGGTACTGTGAACCTTCTCCTTTATGTGACAATTATCCATGACCTTCCCCTGCCACCCTCCTAGCTTCCCGGAACCTCCAAGGTTGGGGGCTCCCTGTTCCTGGGGAATACAAGTTCTGCCGGATTCTCCCCAGGGAGAAAAATGCTAGGAATGGATGGACCCATTGACACAGGTGAGATAGAGTGGAAACGGCACCGAATGGGAAGTCAGAGAACCGAGGTTCAAATCCCAGCCTCGCTGTTCCCTGTGTGATCCTGGGCAAGTCTCAACCTTTCTAAGTGCTGACGCTTAGAACTTCTTCTGTTAAGAAAAAAGAAGAGGTTGGGGTGGATGACTGCTAAGACCCCTCCCAGCCCTAAGTCTAGGATGCCTGTGACTATATTTCTGTCACCTGTGTGTGTGTGTGTATATATATATATATATATATATATATATATATGTATGTATGTATGTATGTAGGTAGGTAGGTAGGTAGGTATAAAATGTATGTATGTATATACATATACACACATATGTATGTACGCGTATATATATATACGTGTGTGTTTGGCTATGGAAATTTATGAAGACTATGTTGAAAGACGTATGTAGGTCAGTGGAAGGAGTCCCCACATTGAGGAAATCAGGCTGCTAAAGCACTGAAATTGGAGTCAGGAGGATGAGTTCAAATCCTACCTCATATACTCAATAGCCGTATGGCTGGGTAAGTCATTTACCCTCTCTAAACCTCACTTTCCTCATTCGTTAAATGAGGATAATAGTAGCACCTCTCTCTCAGGGCTGTTGTGAGAAATGAATGAGATAACATATGAAAAGTGCTTTGCAAACCTTAAAGCACTATTATAGTACAAGGTGTCCCATAAGAAATGCACTAAGACTTTTGGGACACCCTGAATAATTGCAGTTTTATTATCAGAGATCCTTGAGGTTTTATTTGGGTTAGTATCATAGCTTCCTTCCTCCCTGATGTGTTTTTATAGGGTTAGGATCATATCTTATTTATTTCTAAGCTTCCTAAATATGATCTTTTATCACACAAGAGAGTTCAGCCTAACTATTCATATAGGAAAAACAAAGTGGATGAAGAATACCTATTGCCAATAATTTGACTATGAAAGGCAGCCTGGAGTAGAGAATAGAGAATCTATCACTTCTTCATCAAGTCTTGCCTTTGACACATACAGGCTGTATGACCCTAGACAGGTCACAACCTCTCAGTGCCCCCCTAATTCCCCCTTGTCCCCCAGGTCAGCTCTAAAATTATGAGCTGTAAAGCCAGTGTTGATTTGCACTGATAGGGAAGTTTCTCAACAGAAGCTTCTGCAGCTGATAAAAGCAAAGTTCCCTTTTAAAAAAAAAAAAGCCGTCTCATCAGTGCTCATATCTTGGAAAAACATTATAGACGGGCAGTGAGGTAGAGCTGGCCAAGAGGAGTAGAGTGGGCTGGGTGGCCTTTGGGAAATTACAAAGTCTTTTTAATGATGCCCCCAAGCTTCTCCCTGAAACAGGGGCTGACCTTTTTGTTATGAACCCTCTTCCAGTAGTGTCGTTGCAATTCCGTGAGTCACAAAACACCACAGACACCCAAGAATCGAAACTGAGGATCCTTCAGACTGTTGGAGTTTCATGGTGGGCATGAGCAAGCTGAAACATGCTGCAAACCAGGAGGAGAGCAGGGGAAGGCCCATTAAGGACGTCACCGGCAAAGTGTGTGACCAAGAAAGGGGGCCGGTTATGTAGTGAGAACGAGGGATGGGAGGTAGATGGCCTGTCTGCTGCGTTGTTCTCTTGATGCCCGGGGAACTCTAGAGAGAACCCCACCACAGTGGCTGGTGCCCCTCGAGAGAACTGATGGGAAGACACTGCCAAGTGTTGCAGGCGGGGACGCGATGACTGCTCCACGGAACCTCTCCCATCCAACCCCTTTTCTCTACTCACACAGCTACTACCTTAATTCAGGCATCGCCTCCTGCTTGGATTATTGCAACGACCACTTCATTGAGGCCAGCCTCAAATTTCTTCCCACTTCAGTCTGCCCTACACATTCCTGCCAACGTAATTTGACCATGTGACTCCCCTGTCAGCCAACTTCATGGGCTCCTCTAGATTCACATTTGCTCCTCTGTTTGGCATTTAATATTTCTATTAAATAAAAATTAAATATTTATAGCAGCTCTTTTTGTGGTGGCAAAAAATTGGAAATTGGAGGATGCCCATCAACTGGGGAATGGCTGAACAAGCTGTGATATATGAATGCAATGGAATAATATTGTGCTATAAGAAATGATGAGCAGGGACAGCTAGATGGCACAGTGGATAGAGTATCAGCCCTGGAGTCAGGAGGACCTGAGTTCGAATCTGACCTCAGACCAAACACTTGACACTTACTAGCTGTGTGACCCTGGGCAAGTCACTTAACCCCAATTGCCTAAAAAGAAAAAAGAAAAAAATAAAAGAAATGATGAGCAGAAGGATTTCAGAAAAACCTGGAAAGATTTGTACAAACTGATACAAAGTGAAATGGGCAGAACCAGGAGAACATTGTACACAGCAACATTGTGTGATGATCAGCTATGACAGACTTAGCTCTTCTCAGCAATACAGTGATCTGAGACAATTCCAAAGGACTATGATGGAAAATGCTATTCACATCCAGAGGAAGGACTGAGGGATCCTGAATGCAGATCAGAGCATCCTATTTTCACTTTATTTTTTTCGTGGTTTTGTTCCTTTTGGTCTGTTTCTTCTTTCACAATTGAGTAATAAGGAAATGTATTTTACATGATTACACATATATAACCTATATAAAATTGCTTACTGTCTTAGGAAGAGGGGAAGGAGGGAGAAGAATTTGGGACTTAAAATTTTGTAAAAATGAATGCTAAAAATTGTCTTTACACATAATTGGAAAAAAATAAAACCCCTCACAACCTGACCACGGTCTATCTTTCCAACACCACTGGTTGTAAATACCCCTTCCCTGCTCTGCAGTCCTGCTAAGCTACCCTTCTCTCTCTCCCCTGCCTGGAATACCCTGCTTCCTCACCTCTGGCTCATTCTCTCTCTCTCTGTGCAGCTTCACCTTATACATGAAGCCTTCATTGGCAGGGAATTTAATGATCCTGTATGTGTGTGTAAAATATAACTAGGTATTTGTTACCTTTATGTTTATTCTGTAATACATGTTTATAGGCTTGCAAGTGAAGATTGTCTCAATCACTGTACTTGTCTCCCCGGCACTTGGCACATCGTAGGCATTTAATGAAGGATTGTTGATTGACTGATTGGGGTCTGTCTCTCAGTGAGTATGCCTGAGCCTGTAACCAGCAGGTGTTTAATAAATGTTTGCTGAATGAACGAACTAAAGGGAACAAGCCGGGGTGGGGGGTCCATTGTTCACCAGGACACCCACTCAGCCCCAGAAACAGACCTTTAACTCCCACTGTGTACCCAGCAGGATCCACTGGCCAGGACTCCCCGGGACCTCCCCGTTCATACCTTGCCCAGACTCCTTGAGCATCAGACACTACCTTCATCTTCATTTCTTAAACAAAGAATGTGTTTATTGTCTGTGTTCCCACATCACCGTTTCACATTATTTCCAGGTCCTTCTCCCAGACCCCAAGGGCTGATGGGATGACTCTCCCAGTAAAGCCCCCTGACCCAGGCTGACCTGGCCCAGGCCACCAAGGGCACTGTGCAGTGTTGAAGAAGGAAGGCAGCTGATCCAGTCTGAAAAAGGGGCTTTGCCAGGTGGGGGGGGGGGGGGAGGGAAGGGGGAGGGGCCCAGGAGACTCAGTCCCTCGGCTGTGATGGGGCTCAGACAGAGAGGATTGGAGCTGCTAGCTTCCACCTTTAGAAATTCAAAGTATCTTTTGTTTGGAGTCTTTCTTTTTACATTAAGTTAAAACCAGAGTCTGGTCCCTTACTGTGTTAAGGAGGTTTTAGGCTGAAGGGGAGGCTGGAGCTCACCTGGAAGGGGTGCCCCCTGCTCCTGTGGAAAAGGGCATGAGTGGAGGAGAAGGAAAGGAAGCTGCCACTCTTGCCCCTCCCCCCCCTTAGAAGAACTTTATTTTTCAACATCTTTTGTAGTTGGTGAGGAAACCACCAGCCAACCTCATAAGCAGGAAGAAGGAAGCTCGCCATTGACAGGAAACCCTATGGTGGCCCTGTTTTCTTCCTCCTCCCGCCCAACCTTCATCCTCAGGGCCCAGGTTCAACCCAAAGCGGGTCAGGAAGACATGCAGAGACAGCGAGGCCTGGTCTAGGGCAAGGGTGTGGATGTGAGGGGATGAGAAGGATTCCCACTTCACAATCCCCCAAGCCCACACACACACCCCTAGTGAGAAGCCCTTGGCTCTCTCCTGCCTTCTCTGCTCAGGAGATGAGGCATTCAAATACACAGAACCATACAACATCAGTGCTGGAGGGGACACCTTAGGCAGCCAGTCCTGGCCCCCTCATCTGACAAATAGATAAGCTGAGGCCCAGAGATGGGTAGAGACTTGCCCAGGGTCACAGGGCGAGTCAAAGAGACAGCTCAGACGGGAACAAAATTCCCCCAGCATAAGACAAAAAATCAGAAAGCACAAGAGGGTGATAATAAGGAAAAAGGGGAGGATGAGGGAGGGGAGAGGAGATTGGGAGGGGCCCTGGGTCTCAATACCCTTCCTCTTCCCGGTAATAGTGGTACTCAGGTGGCTCCACAGTGCTAGGGCTGTCACCTGGGCCCGCCCCTGGCCCATCTCCAGTGGGACCTTGGGGACAGTACTTGGGATCATAGATCTGTCGCCCCAGCCCGAACACCTGCCCACTTTGGTTGGCACCCTGGGTATAACCCATCTGCAGAGACATGGAGGTGTTGTCACACTTGTCTGTGCCCATCTTGGTGTCATAGATGTGCCGCCTGGTGCCTGGGGCTGTCATGCCAACCTGGAAGGAGGATGGGGAAGGGAATTCAGGCTCTGCAATCCTGGGACTCCCCCAGGTCCTTGTCTATCTGGACCCTCTCCAGCCCGGCCCCCGGCCTTAGCCAGCACACTCCATCTGCTGGGAGCCATGGGTCAGGCCCGGGTCCTAACTCCATCCCTGACTCACTAAAGTTCCTCATGATCCAGCTCCTTGCCACCTTTCCACGCTTTACTTCACTTTCTAGCTATATCCAGTGATACCGGCCTCCCTGCAGTTCTTCCAACCAGACATGACATCTCCTCTCTACATGCATTTGTATAGGCTGTCCCCCACGCCTGCTGTGCTTTCTCTTCTCTCCCTTCTGGCTCTTCCAAGACTCTCCTCAAATCTTACCTTCTGCAGGAAGCCTTTCTCTGACCCGTCTTTCTGGCCCCCAAGTCTTCACCGCCTCCCCCACCAGTGCCTTTCCTGCTGAGAGTGCCTTCTACCTGATCTGCTTATATCTTGAATGTACGGCATTATTTACATATCTCCTCCATTAGAACATAAGCTCTCTGAGGGGAGGGACCTTTTTTTTTTTGCCTTTCTTTGTCTTCCAATCTCTTAGCACAGTGTAAATAATTAATAAATGCTTATTGACTGTCTGATTTATTAATTGAGGTCCCTCCCAAATCTGACCCTCTGTGCTCCAAGGTTCCCCTGCTCCTTCCCCCGATGCAGCTCTGATATTCTATGTTCACACTTTGGAAATTCTGAGTTCTAAGGCCCTTCCTGAGGTGGTACAGTGGCTAGGCACTAGACTTGCAGGGGGAAAGACCCCAGTTCCAATCCTGCCTTTGACACTAGCTGTGTGACCCTGGGCAAGTCACTGAACCTTCTTAGTTTCCTCATCTGTAAGATTAGCGTAATGCTAGCACCAACCTCACAGATTGTTGTGAGGATCGAATGAGAGGATATATGTCAGGTGCTTAAAGCACAAGTAAATACGAGCTATTATTATTCCTGCTGTTCTATGTTTTATGGACTCTACTAGTTTTAAAATACTGTGTTCTAAAACCTATTCCAGTTCTGATATTCTCTATTTTGTGTTCTAAGGGCCCTTCTGACATCCTGTGTTCTAAAGGCCCTCCCAGCTCTGACATTCTGGATTCTAAGGGCCCTCCCAGCTCTGACATTCTCTGTTCTAAGGGCCCTCCCAGCCCTGACATTGTCTGTTCCAAGGACCTTCCCAGCTCCGACATTCTAGGGGTCAATAATAAGCTGACACAAATATAGCACTTTATGAGTTATCGCTTTCATTATCTCATTGGCATTTCAGGGCAATGCCTTATGAGGTAGGCAGTAGTGCAAGTTATTATCATACTTATTTTCCTGATGTGGAAACTAAGGCCCAGATGAGACAGTGACAGAGGCAAGGCTCACCCCCAGACCTCGTAGCCCTGAATTCAGATCAGCGCGCTCCTAAGTTCTGGTTGTCTAAGTGAGCTCCTGGATGCTTTGCTCAGTTACCTGGTAACTGAGGGGTTTGAGCCCACCTGTTGGGTGTAGAGTGAGCCCTACCCCCCCACTTCAAGAAACAAAAGCTGGAGGGAGTGGCTGGCTGGCATCAAAGAACCAGCTCTAACCAGCCCAGCAGGCTTAGAGAACTCGGCTTTATTCCCGCCCTAACCTGCATCCCTTCTTAAAGGGACAGGAACCAGTTTGGAAGCCTCGGGCTTCAGCCCCGGCTCCCCCGCCATGAATAGGACCCGAGGCCAGAAAGCTCCAATGAATTCTTACGGTAACAGAATGTCAGAGCTGGAAGACACCTTAGGGAGTTTCTAGTCTAACTCCTTCATTGCACAGATGAGAAAACTGGGGCACAGAGAGGGGAAGGGGCTTTATGAAAGCCCCGTAGTAAGTAAATAAAGAGCACAACTAGGTCCTCTGACTTTAGATCCAACTCTTTTGCTGACTTCATGGTCATCTTCTCCAAGACCAGCTGCTGCCTTCATTTTACAACCCAGGGTCACACAGCTAATCCAAATCACAGTGAAGACCCCAAATTCAGGGCTCTTTGCATGCCAGTGTTCCTTCTAAAGTCCAGAGAGGAGACCTCTGAGCCTATCCTGGAACCTGGGTCTTCCAGCTACCAGTGCCCTAACCATTGTACCGCTCTACCTGTGGTGCTCCTCTCTTTCATTTCAGAGTCCTAGATGTTCCCACTCACCTGACTGGCACACTTGTTGGTCCCCATCTGCAGACTGATAGTTGAGTGGTCCATAGGGGCCAGAATTTGGTTCTTAGGGTCATACAGGTGTCTCCGGGTACCATAGGCTGTCATGCCTGACTGGCTGGCGCATTTATTGGTGCCCATCTGTGGTCAGAAGGAAGTAGGGTCATTAGGGTACCAGTGGGCCATCATCTGCTGCCTGGAAACTAGGGCTCAGGCTCTTAGCTGAAGCCCTGAGAGCTTGTCTCCCACACAAGAGCCCTGCTTAACCCCCTGTAACTTCTATGGGTTTCCTACTTGGGTAGAATTCCCAGGAGAGGGAAGGTACCTGACTTTCAGACAGGGTCTGGCCAGAACAAAATGGGGAAGTCATCCAGGTATGTCTCCTGGGCAGCATGTCCAGCATCCCCCTGTGCTCTCTCCCCTCTCCTCTCCTCTCCCCTCCCTTCTCCTTCTCTTCCTTCTCCTTCTTCTTCTCCTCTCTCTCTCTCTCTCTCTGACACACACACACACACACACACACACACTTACTTGACAACACCATTTGTACCTTCCACTGAAAATCTCCCAACCTAATTTCCCTGGGTACCATCTAACCTCAGCCTGGGTAGCTATCCCCTTCACGTTCTCCCAGAATACTCCCCTCATTCCTCTTGGAGCATTACATCCATCTCTCTTCCCCTGTGAAGCATCCTCCTTACTCTCTCCTTCTGAATATTTCCCTGCTTCATCTCCCTTTTCTCTATTCTTTGTACCATCACCCTCAGGGCTCCCAGGAATCACACTGTCCTTCTCTCCTGTTACTGGGAAGGAACATTTCTGATAAACTCCTTCCCTTCACATATTCTCTCTCTCAAAGGGAAACTTGAATTTTCAGGGAGCAATGCTGAACTCAAAAGAATGACCAGCCAATCATGGCATTTCAGGTGCTATGGGTGAGATTTGGAAGTGGAAGTGGGGGAGAAGAGTGGCTTTCTTTGGACCTTTCAAATTCACCCAGGCTCCTAAAGATGAGAAATCAGACCAAAGTTTACAAGACCAAGGAATGAGGAAGGAAATGGGGCCATTGGGCCACCTAGAGATTGGTGATGGCTCCGTTCAGGATAAGCAGAACTGAGCAGCCAGGCCCAATGCCATCTGGATTCCTGGGCCCATGTCCCCAAGCCCTGCTCCCTCTAAGACTGGGAGAGGGGGTGCCAGACTGGGGAGACTTGGACAACACACATCCAGCTCTTCTCTCTGGCCTAGGAGCCTCACCCTGAGGACAAGCATCCAGGGTGAAGGTGCTTCAGGCTAGCCCCATCTCGTACCTGGAGGCCAATAACACACTGCCCAGCCTTCAACTTGGCGTCATCAAAGTTTCGCTCTTGCTTCTCTGAGTACTTGACCCCAATGTCCACGCCACTCTGTAGCCCTTTTGTCTTGGCCTGGCCAGGAGGAACAAAGATGAAGAAGAGAGATTAGGAAAGGGTGATTAGGGGAGATTGAGCCCCTGAAAGCTCCAACCTCAGAGCCCAAAATAGTCCTGCTCCACCATCTCCACCACCTGCATCTCCTGCTCCCAGCTCAGTAAAAGTAGGAAGAGGACCAAATGATGGGAGCTGCTCTTCCTTCTTCAACATTCTGCCTTCTAATCCTAGAACACAGCACGTCAGAGCCAGGAAAGACTTTGGAACACAGAACGCAGAATATTAGAGTTGAAAAAACTTTAAGATGTGGAATATTAAGATCAAGAGAGACCTTAGAAAACAGGGCACAGAAGGTTAAAGCTGAAAGGACCTCAATGTAGAACATCACAAGTGAGAGGGCCTTGAGAACACAGAATGTCATGGGTATCCTGTGTCAGATTGCTTGCTGTAATGGGGAGAGGGGAAGGAAGGAAAGGAGGGAGAAAAATTTGGAACTCAAAATCTTACAAAAGTGAATGTTGAAAACTATCTTTACATGTAATTGGAAAAAATAAAATACTATTTACTAAATATATATATACGCATTATATATTATTCTATATACATATATTCTATGTATATGTGATATATACATATATGTTTGTGTATATATAGATATATGTGTGTACAATGTATAGTATATATTATATAATACATAATTATTATATATATATATTCAAATAATGGAAGGAACCTTAGAATATAGGACACAGAATGTCAGAGCTGAGAGGGCCCCTAGATGTTCTATGTTCTAAGGGCCATCTCAGTTCCGACATTCTGTATCTTGTATTCTAAGGCTCCTTCCAGATCTGAATTTCTATTCTAAGGGACCTTAGAATGTCTGAGTTAAGCAGATCCTTAAAACACAGAACATAGAATTCTAGCACTAGAACATTCCTGAAAAGCCATCTTTCATCTTCCTTTTCTTTTCTTTTTTTTTTGCTCCAAGGCTAACATAGAAATATATTTTACATGACCTCACATGTATAATGGATCTCATATTGCTTGCCTTCTCAATGGGTGGGAGAGGGGCTGGAAGGAGGGAGAGAATTTGGAACTCAAAATTTTTAAAATGAATTAAAACTTTTTTAAAAGACCATCTAATTCAATGATGTTGATTCTCTTCAACTTAATTTAATTCAATAAACACAAGCCTTCTGAGCATCAAACCCTGTCCTAGGTGCTGAGGGAGAGACTGACATTAGAACAAGACAAGGTCCTAGATTTCAAAGCATTTACAGTCCGGTCAGGAAGATAGGATGACCACATAGGTAAGTAGAGCATCCATAGATAATACGCAATCAGATTATTGAGACCCAGAGGGATGAAATAAATTATCCAAGGTCACACAGCAAGTTGTTGGCAGATATGGGACCACAGCCGACAGTTTTCCCCAGTCCAGGACTTTTTGTCCCTTGGAAACTCGTAGGATCCCCATTTTCTAGAGCAGGGAACAAAGACAGAACCCATTCAGACCCAGATGTATGCTCCCCTGAAGGGGTGTCTTACCTTGCCAGCCAGGGCCAGAAGTGACACTTGAACCTGGGTCATATTCCCACTTTCAAAGAGGTCATTGGCTTCAAAGAGATCCACAGGGTTCATGCCATAGTTGACCATGGCCTTGATGAAATTGGAGAGATTCTCCAGCTGATCACGAAGGGGAAGAGGCAGAAGATAAGAAACAGAACTGAGCTGAGTTCTGGGGCTCCCTGTGTGAGTGTTTGAGCCTGCCCCTCCCCTTCTGATTCTCTGCCCTTCTACTGTGGCACACTGGGGGCTAAGCTAGGGGCCTGGAAGATCCTTCATTGGAGGGGGGAAGGGGAGTGTCAGGACAAGGGATGGGGTTACCAGTCCCTCTCTTTCCCCTGGGTATACCCCAGGACCATCTCACCTGATGCCAGTTCTGTTGTGAGCGATTAATCTTGGGCACGGAGCCAGGCTGCAGTTTGTTCATGAGACTGGAGGGATAGTACCAGGGGAGGGGTAAAAGGGAAGGAGGAATAGTGATCATATTAATGCCCGTCCCAGCAGGCACTAATGTTATTTAAGGGCCCTCCCAGCTCTGACATCCTGTGTTCTAAGGGCCCTCCCAGCTCTGACATCCAGGGTTCTAAGGGCCTTCTCAGTTCTGACATCCCAGGTTCTAAGGGCTCTCCCAGCTCTGACAGCCGGGGTTTTAAGGGCCTTCTCAGTTCTGACATCCTGGGTTCTAAGGGCTCTCCCTGCTCTGATATCCTGTGTTCTAAGAGCCTTCCCAGCCTGATATCCTGTGTTCTAAGAGCCCTCCCAGTTCTGACATTCTGTGTTCTAAGGGCCCTCCCAACTCTGACATCTGGGGTTCTAAGGGCCTTCTCAGTTCTGACATCCTGGGTTCTAAGGGCCCTCCCAACTCTGACATCCGGGGTTCTAAGGGCCTTCTCAGTTCTGACATCCTGGGTTCTAAGGGTCCTCCCAGCTCTGACATTCCATGTTCTAAGGCCCTCCTATCTATGACAGTTTGTGTTTTAAAGGCCCTCCCAGCTCTAACTTTCTCTTCTCTGCTCCAAAGTCCCTTCCAACTCTGATGTTTCTATAGCTCTGACATTGTTCTAGGCCTGATGAGTCTACAAATTCTAGGTCAGAGGTAGGCCAGACCTTGAGTTGCAGATCCCTCTCCAAGGCACCCTATCATCTAGAGTAGAGATGGAGGCACCGGGGCTCCTCCCTGAATCCCTCCTCTGTCCCTCCAACACCTCAGCCCCAGTGCTTACTCACGTGCATAGGATGACGCCATCTTTGAGTCCCTTCTGGAAGTCTGGCCCAATGCTGAGTTCGGTGAGACCCTCGATCCAGCCCCTCAGCTCGCCTTCCATCTGTGGGTCATACTTAGACTGGAGCTAAGAAGAAAGGCCCAGGCCATACTGTTAGGACTATACCTGGCCCTAGAGCATGGGGAAAAGTTAGGCTGGAAGCTTGAGACTCCCGGACCATCCTTGGCAGGAGGCTCAGGTAAGTCCCAACCATTTAGGGTCTCAGTTTCCCCATTTGTAAAATGAAGGGATTGGATTACATGATCTACAAAGTCCCTTATAGTTCTAAATTTTACGTTCCTATTAACACCAAGTCATTCCTGCCCCGGCTCCAAATTTTTCTACTAGCCTAATAATGTTCTTGGGTAAAATCCATTGGATTTAGAGTCAAAGGATCCAGGTTCAAATTCTGTCTCTGTTACATACTTCCCTTCCCCCTCCCGCCTATCACCCAAAACAATGTATTAAAACTCTCTGCGCCTCACTTTTCTCCTATGTCAAATGAGAGGTCCAGATCAGATGATCTCTAATACAAAATCTTTCCATTCATTTCAGTAAACATTTATTAAGCACCTACTGTGTGCCAGGCACTGTGCTAAGCCCATACGATATAAGAGACAGTTCAGTACAGGGGAAAGGAGGCTGAATCCGGAGGGCCTGGATACCAATCCCAGCTTACTACCTGGGTCACTTTGGACAAGCCCTTTAATCTCCCTGGGTCCACATTTCCTCATCCTTCGAATGAAGGGTGTGGACCAGATGGTGTCTGAGGTCTCTTCCTGCTCTAAATTTATGATTAGTCCAAGTGCAGCTGCCCCCTTCAGCTGTCATCGGCCTATTGTCTCATTACACAAACGAAACTGAGAAAGGGAGAGGGGGAAGAGGGCGGAGAGGGCTTCCTGGAGGAAGTGGCCTCTGAATTGAGCCTTGCCTAGAGACGAGGACTGAAAGATGGGCAGGTGGGGAGAGAAAGCATGTTTCCCTTGATATGGTGGACAACTGGTCCTAATGCTTGGAGGCCAGAAGCACAGAATTTGGGGTGTTGTTAGTAGTTCAACTGGACTGCAATATAGAGAGTTTGAAGGACAGCAGTGTAGAATAAGTCAGAAAGAGAGACAGCAGCCAGATTCTAGAGTGCTGTAAATCCCAGGCTAGGGGGTTTGTAGTCTCTCCTAGAGGCAACAATAGGGAGCCATTGAAGGTTTTTGAGTAGGGGAGTTAACACGGTCAGAGCTGTGGCTTAGGAAGATCATTTTGGCATCAAGAAAAAGACTGAAAAGAGGAGGACCAATTAGGAGGCTGTTATGGTAGACTTGAGGACAGATGATCAAACTCTGGACGAGGGTGATGGTTGTGGAGAGATGGATGGGAGAGATGTTGTGGAATCAATGTCGTTTTCCACTTTGCTTAGAGAAAGCCCAGGCTGCCTGGTTACCCAGCGTCAGGAGATATGGGGGCAAATAGTAGTTTTGCTATTATTCTGCGGGGGATGGGGGCCGAGTCACCACCCCCCTGGCCTCAGCTTCCTCATCTGTCCAATGAGGGGGGGTTGGATGAGATAATCCTGAAGTTCCCCTCCAGCTCCATATCCCGTGACCTCAAAGCGACGAATACTCATAAAGATTCCTTGTACGCCTGTACTTCTCCACTCTTTACAAAGTCCTTTCAGACTTGCCGAACACGTCCGTGTCCATTTTTTTCCTCTCATTCAGTGGCTCAGGACAGGACAAGGATGAGATTATTCCGCCCATTTTACAGATGAGAAAATCAACGCTCAGAGAAGGGAGTAGGGGAAGTGATCTGATCAAGGTCACAAAGCTAATTAGTGGCAGAGGAAGAAGAAGGAGAGGCAGCTGAGTGGAAACAGCATCAGAATCTAGACCCCTGGAAGCTCAATGCTGGAAGGGGCCTCCCAGTACTTCCTAGTATGCCCAAAGAGTAAAATGGAGTCAGTCAGTCAGTCAGTCAATAAGCATTACTTAATCAGTCGCTATGATTGAGGCACTGCGCTAAGCACTGAGGAAACAAAGGCAAAAAAAAAAAAGTGAGTTTTTGTCTTTGTACGTCCAGTGCCTAGTATAATGCCCAGCACAGAGCCACAGCTTGAGAAAAAAAAAAAAAGCTTGCTGAATCGAATGAAACGGGAACTTCCTCTGTAATGTCCGGGATAAGTGATCATTCAGCACCTACTTGAATACCTCCAAAGACAGGGAACTCTCTACCTGCAGAGGGATTCTATTCCAACTTTTAGACAATACTGTTAGGAAACTTTTCTTCCAAAGAGTCAAAATCTGGCTCTCTGAAGCCACTTCTCTTAGTTCAATCAAGCAATCAACCAACCAAGATGAATTTTTGGAGTGCGTCCTGCCTTTGATCCCTGCTCCCCGCGGAACACATAGAACTGGAACTCTCCGGCCTTGGGGTTCAAGCCTTGTAGGCCTTGCTATACTGACACCAGCCATGGCGTGGGGGCTGTAGACTGAGGAACCCTTCTGAGTGTGAGGTGCGCTGGATGGCCGCTCTAGCGCCTTCCAACGAGAGACAAGGGAACCGGATCCGATAATTGCTAGGTAGAGACTTGTTCCTGAATCTCCAGACCCCTACCCCTCCCATATATTCCACCATACCATGGGGAAGCTTTGACTGGCCCATGGCAAAGCAATCCGCTCCCGAGATTACCTGAGTATGTGGGCATGTGCCTGGCCTTGAGGAGAAAGTAGCATCTGAGACTCAAGGGTGGAGTAGGGGCCCTGAAGGAGCAGGGGAGGAGGCAGTGCTCCCGAAATGGGCCCTGCTTCCTGATCCCCACACACAAAAAAGCTAAGAAAGCAGGACTTAGGCCTGAAGCCTAGCAACACAAAAGCAAGCTAGGTTCCAGGATCTACCTGATAACCCCTGGACTATGCAGCTCAGATGGCACGGAGGGAGGGGGCCCAGGGACACTGATGCCACTGACCCTGGGGGGGGCAGGGCAGGAGGGGCATGACGGGGTGGAGGAAAGAATAATGGCCTTGGAATCTTTTGAATTCTGCCATCTGTAAAATGGGGATAATAACAACACCTGGGTTGTGGTGAGGCTGAAATTAGATAATAATTGTAAAGCGCTTAGCATATTGCCTAGTGCATAGTAGGTGCTATATAAATGTTAGCTGTTATTTATCACCTGCGTGACCTTGAGCAAGTATCTAAAGTCTTCCAAGCCTTAGTTTCTTCCCCTGAAAAAAGAATCAGTTGGACCAGAAGACCTTTGAATTCCCTCTTCTAAAGCTAGTATGTATCTGAGATCATATTAGACAGGAGGTCTTCCTAACTATAGGCCCAGCACTCTCTCCATCTACTAAGGCAATACAAACTGGGTCAAGAGTCCTGGATTCGAGTCCTGACTCAGCGACTAACTCCGTGTGATTCAGGGACAGCCTTTTCTCCCTGGGCCTCAGCAGTTCCCCTCTGTAAAATGGAGAGATTGGACCGGACAGTATCTTCGTTCCATTTCCAGTTCAATGTCTTTCCACGTCTCACCCGGAGTAGGTCTTTCTCAATTTTTCAGCTAGAAAATCAAGGGGGTTGGATTAGTTGGCCTCTAAGATCCCTTTTCAGCTCACCGTCTATAATCCTGGGCCTCAGTTTCCTTCTCTGTAAAATGATGGTGTTGAACTACATGGCTGGTAAAGCTTCTCCAGCTATTAAAACTGATTTTTTTTTCTTCCAAATGAGTTAATTATTAATCACAAACCCCAGGAAAAGAAAGGAATGAGGAGGGGGATGTTTTGGGGTGGTCTGTAGGTCCTCTCTGCTTCCCTCTGACTCCCCTTAGTACTCAACCCAGATTTTTGGATCAAAATCATAGCGCACGCGCGCACGTATGCGTGCACACATACACACATATATATATGTGTTAGAGAGAGGGAGCGCACCTTTATGGTTTACAAAACTCTTTACATACATTAGCAATTTGATAATGTGAAGGAGATGGAAGAATTGTTGTTATGAAATAAGGAAAATGAGGAAAGGGAAGAAAAGGGAAGTAACTTGTCCAAAGTCATACAACTAATACTAAGTGGTAGAGATAGAATTCAAACTCAGGTCACCTCTCACTCTGAGTTTGGTAACCTTTCCATTAAATTATATTGACTTCTTTTTCTCCTCTGACACTGCAGTGCAGTGCAGACCCTCATCACCTCATGCCTGGATCATTGCAATAGGCTCTGGTGGGGAGGTCTGCCTGCCTCAGGTCTCTCCCCATTCCATCCATCCTCCATTCAAAAGTCAAAGTAGCTTTCCTAAAGGTTGGACCACCTCACCCCCCTACTCAATAATATCCAGTGGCTTCCAATCACCTCTAGAATCAAATATACATCTCACACCTATCAGATTGGCTAATATAACAGAGAAGGAAAATGATAAATGTTGGAGAAGATATGGGAAAATTGGAACACTCATGCATTGTTGGTGGAGTTGTGAACTGATCCTACCATTCTGGTGAGTAATTTGGAACTATACCCAAAGGGCTATAAAGGGCTGTGCATACCCTTTGATCCAGCAATATCACTACTAGGTCTGTATCCCAAAGAGATCATAAAAAAGGGAAAAGGACCTACATGTACAAAAAAATATTTATAGCAGCTCTTTTTGTGGTGGCAAAGAATTGGAAACTGAGGGGATGTCCATCAATTGAGGAATGCCTGAACAAGTTGTGGTATATGCCTGACTTCCCAGGCAGCTCAAATCTTTCCTTCCACAGGGATGCCTCCTTCTAGTATCTTCCCTCTGGGATTATCTTCCATTTACAAGGCATGTACTTTGTACGAATATAACCATTTGCATGTTGTCTATCCCATTAGACAGTGAGCTCCTTGAGGGCAGGGATTATGTTTTTGCCTTCCCTGGCATCCCTGAGCTTAGTACAGTGCCTGCACATAGTAACCACTAAATGAATGCTAGCTGAGTCACTGGCTGACTGACTTCTCCCCCTCCTGGGCTTGCAATAGACCCAGGATTCTCTGGACAAACCCACAGAAGGAAGATTGGATCCTGCCCCCCTCCAGACACGCAAAGGTGGATTGTGATCCCTTTGAGCGAGGCCGCAGCCTTCCCGCTCCCATCTCCCCAAAGGAATCAGGAAAGGGGAGAAGGCTGAGGGAGGGCTAAAGATTTGCTCTAGGGTGTTGGAGGAGGTGGGGGCGGGGAGGACTTGGACAGCACACAGCTGGAGTGGCCACTTCTGGCCGTGGCACCAGACGCAACATCCCTTCCTCCTGTCCAAACCACAGACCCCACTCCAAGATTCTGAGACAACCTCCCTTGGGCCCTTGGACCAGCAGCCAGTCTTTCTCCCTCTTTGGGATGGGTTTGTCCCTTTGTGTCACAGCATCTCACCGTTGGAAGGGACCTCTGAAGTCATCTACTGAATTAGACTCCCCTTCACACCTTGCCTGACAAGTGGTCATCGAGCCTTTGCTTGAAGACCCCCAGAGGAAGAGAACCCTGAACTCTGGGGCTGGTGGTTTGGGTCCTGGGCTAGGCGCCTTCTCCTCGGGGCTCCCAGCTATTCCTACACCAGCTGCCTGCCCTTCCCCCCCTCCCCAGAAGCCCCAGGCTTGCTTCTTGGGACCCATTTCTCCATCTCCTCCCCCTCCCCACATCACCTCCAGGATCCTCAGGCTTTCTCCCTGGGATCAGACCCGCCCGCAGATTCTTTTGTCACCGCAAAATGCCAAGAATGTGCTGGCTATTTTCTTTGCAAATGAACAGCAGCTGTTCCCAGAGGTTTCAACTCTACTGCCAGTAGCCTGACAGGCTCCATCAAAGCCATTCTGGAGGGGCTGGCTGGGCTGACCAAGTGGGCAGGGACACCAGAGTCCAGGACCACTCCCTGGCCAAGTAGCCCTGAAACCAGCCTCAGTGGGCTTCTTGTCCCAAGCAAGAGAAGCTGAAGGATGAGAGAATTTAGGGCTGGAAGTGATCTTACAGTCTTCATCGAGTCCTGCCTGCTCTTTTATCCAGAGGAACCAGAGGCTCAGAAAGGTTAATCAATTTGCTTAAGGTTGCACAGCCAGTCAGTGGAAGAGCTGGGATTTGAACCCGGGTTTTCCAGTTCCAAGCTGGGGAAGTCCCATTGAGAAGCTGAAAGTCTCCTTCTGTTGAAGGGGTAAGAGTGAGACTCTTCTTGGGCCATTAAGTAGGAGTTCTGCCCAGGTCAAGCTAGCCCCCTCTCCTTGTCCCTCCTCCTCCCCTCAGTACAGATTGTTGAGAGCATCCTCTGGAGAAAAGATGATGGAGTAGAAGGGGTTCTCCAAATAGCTGTTGACTCAGGGAACACCTAGTTCACCACCCCAAATCTTCTATTACACCATATAAATAGTTCAGCCTGCCTCAAATATCTCAGCCTGCTATTTGAGACACCCCACATCTTTCGCGACGATGTGCCTTTGACGGCCTCCCCTCTCCATTTCTGCCCCACTCCCTAACTCCTGTCCTTCAAGGTCTCCCTCAGGTACCACTGCCTTCAGGCAGCCTTCTCTGTTCCCCCTCATCTGGAAGGAACTCTTCCGCCTCACCGGACCATGTCTGTCTTTCTCCCTTTCCCAAAGGACCTAGCCCCTCTCACCTCATGTAGTAGCAATGTGTCTCAGTCTGCTCTCACCCCACCCCCACCCCAGATTGGGAACTTCCCCCCAAACGGCAATGGGCCGTTATTAAGTCTGTTGTCCCATATGGCCTAGTGTCATCTTTGAAAGGTTGGCTCCAAGGAGGGTGTGGGGGCAGCTCAGTAGGTTCTAAGCAGGTTGTTCTGTTGCATCTTAAGAACTCATGTCTCCACCATAGCTTGGAGCACCTTGAGCATCATTTTCTAGAAGATTCCATACAATTGGGAGTACAGCTAAGCCTTTGACCTCTGTCCTAACTGACGATACTTTCCAGAGGCTAATGAAATATAAGAGAAAATTAGATTTCTAAAATGTCCAAGTGGGAAGGGATCTTAGGACATAGAACGTCAGAGGTGGAAAGGACCTTAGAACATAGAATGTCAGAGCTAAGAGAGAATTTAGAACATTGCGGGTGACCTTATAACACTGAATGCCAGAGCTGGAAGGGACCTTAGAACATAAAATGTCAAAGCTGGAAGAGAACTTAGAACACCAGATGTGGGCCTAGGAGGGACCTTAGAACACAGAAGGTCAGAGCTGAAAGAAAACAACATCTTTACTTTACCCAAGAGCAAATCGAGGTGGAGGTGAGGAGCCATTTGCTCAGGCCTAATCTACCCTCCCACCCAAGTCCCTGGCTTTATACTCCTCTTGTATTCTGGAGGCTAAGAAAGGTCTGCGTGGCACCTCTTGCCTCTTCCCCAACATTAGTCACACTCTTCAGGGTGGGAAGAAATAGCCCATTGAAATTAGATTGTTTCTATGGTGCCTGAAAGGGAGAAGAGTTCAGCCTTGTCCTCGATGTTTCCTGTGGGCAGCCAGCAGGGGCAGGCATGTCCAAGCAGGCTGTTGGGGCTCCCCCAACCCTCAGGCTGGCGTGTGGGGCCTTGCAGGGCTCTGCCAACAGCTATGTTGCCACATTCCGTGGTGCCACTTGAGATGCCCATTCCTGACTCAACCCCAGCCATGGAGGTGGGGCATGATGCAATCCCAGAATGCACCTCAACCAGGCCTCTCCTGAATTCCCAAATGGCTCAACATGTAGGTGTGTGTCCATTCATATGGCTGGCAGAGTACTGCCTGAGACACCAAGGTCCCTGGTTGGACATTTGATTGGAGAGTGGAAATCAAAAGACCACTCCTTTTCTGTTCCCCCCCCAAAGGATATCCACAAGGAGCCATAGACTAGGAATCAGGAGGACTAGGTTCTAATCCCACCTTTTCCAATTCGGGAGCAAGCCCCAGCCTCAGTTTCCTAGCCTGTAAAATGAGGCAGTTGGAATTGATGATTTCTAAGGTCCCTTCTAGTTCTAAACTTCTGTATCCTAGGGTTCCCAGCTCTGAAATTTTATAACCTCCTCCTTTCTGGAGGGCTAGGGTTGTGGAATTTGAGGTTTGGGAATTATAGAGCCCAAACCGAGGCCCAGAAAGGGGAGGTTAGGATAGGAGGGAAAAGGCAGAGAGAGAAGCTCTGGGTAAGTTTAGAATGAGACGCCCTCTGAGTCTCCACCCTACCCCACTCCTGTCCCTTTAAATTTCAAGGAAGAGATGGGGAAGGAGCAGGAGGCTTCTGTCTAAGAAGCGGTGGCTAACTCCACCCACCTCCACTTCCTCTTTTTGAACCCCCTCTTCTCCTCCCCTCCCCCCTTAAGGTGGCCAGCAGGTGCAGGCTTTGGCTAAGGGAAATTCCTCCTCACACCCCCCACCCCCACCCCCAACAAATACAAACACACACCCTTATATAGAGCTGAGCCAAACGGAAATTATTGTAGGGTAGCTCGGGAGGGCAGGGTGGGGCACCAGCCACCAGACATCTCAGCCCTAGAGATCTGATAGGATGAGAACCTTCTCCCCCAGTTCCTATATCTACGTACGTGCTCCTCTCCCCCCCACCCCATCCATTCTCTAGCCTCGGGATAGGATCCTGATAGTTAGACACGCAAGGACCTCAGAGACCAAGTATTTCACCTAGCTTCATTTGAGTGATTGGAATACTGAGATCGTGGCCCAAAGAAGGGAAGGAAGTTGCCTAGGGTCACACAGCGAGTTAGCCTTCTCTAATTCCTCTTAGATGGAATTGGGGAGCTGGGGAACAAGAAATGCCTCAGAGAGGGGTCTCAACTTGAGACGTGGATACATGGGTGGATGGGGAGGGTTCTGGGGAAGTTGAAAACCTCTTTCCTGGAAGGGGGAGAGTGGGAATCCAAATGGGTCTGATATGAGAGTACTGCCCATAACAAACCAGATCCCCCTCCAGAAGATGCTTGGGGTGGCAGGAGGCTCCTCTGGGAAGAGCCAGGAGGAGGGAGAAATTGGCCAGAAGGTACCCCCAGGTCATCCCGAGCTCCGCTACTCCCCAAACCCGGCAGGGGTAGCCCCGCCAAGGGATAGCAATCCTCTCCCACCAGCCCCCCTCCCCTTCTCTCCATCCTTGTCTGGGGTCCTCCTCCGCCACTCACCCGGTTCTTGACCTCGGCCGACAGGCCGTAGGACGGGCCCTTGTTGAACTGAGTGGAGCTCATGGCGTGGCCGGGTCAGGCCGGAGGTGACTGACTGACAGGCCGGGAGCGGACGGGAGCCGACGGGACGGGCTGGATGGGACAGGACAGACGAAAAGACGCTCTCTCGCCTCTTTCTCGGCTCCAGAGTTAGGGACCCGGCCACGCCCCCGGCCGCGGATTGGTCGCGAGTGGAAATGCCCTTATAAGGGCCGAACGCTTCGAATTCCTGCGGGGTGGGAGCTTCCTGAACCCCCCTACCGGCGCCCCAGCCGCCCCTCTGCCCCCTGCCTCCGGGGCGCCCGGCCCGGACCCCTCCCCTTTCTGTCTTTGTGCAACTGCCGCCCCCACGCCCCCAACCCCTAGTGATGGAGTCACATCGGAACCGACCTGGACTCCCAGGGCTCGGGACCCTGGCCAGGGGCACTCCTACGGACGCCAGGACTTAACATACACTCAGGCAGACTGACACCTTGGACACACACCCAAGGGACATCCGTAGGCACATGACCACACAGAGGCATGGGCAGATGGACACACACACACATCCAGCCAGAGCATTTATACAGGAACACACCTGGATGGGCACCGAGGGACAAACTTGGATGGGCATTTCTAGGCAGAGTGATTGACATATCTGAATGGGCCCTAACAGACGCATCTGGATGGACTGATGAAGGGCACATCCAGTGATAAACACACGTTTGGACAGACACCAACAGACACACCTGGTTGGATGCTGCAGTGCATGCACGTGAACACACACACACACACACACACACACACACACACCTAGTTCCATGCATGCACACTCGGCAGAAACCTGAACACAATGACTGGATACACAGACCCAGACTTAAAACACCCAGCCAACCAGACTGCCTTGAAGACACAGCCAAACACCTGGAAAGAAGGAAACGCACAAGATATCTGCACAGATGTAAACCTTGGATGACCAGATCAGATACAGATCTGGTGTAGGGGTGGTGTGTGTACAGAGAAAGGTACATACTCCTACAGCTGTCCTCCCATGCAATTTACCTCCTGCTGTGTGTTAATCTCTCATTGTTTCAGGTGTGGGAACCTTGTCTCCCCAAGTGAAAAAAGCCAGGGCTATCCCTGCCAGGACTTAGTGAGTATTGACACTTCTCGTGTCCTCCCTCTGAGTACCTCCCATTTGTTGTTTAGTCTCCTTGGACTCTTTGTGACCCCATTTGGGTGTTTGGTTTTTTTGGGGCAAAGATACTGGAGTGGTTTGCCATTAACTGAGGCAAACGGGGTAACTGACTTGCCCAGGGTTTTGCAGCTAGGAAGCATCTGAAGCCACATTTGAACTTAGGTCTTTCTCACTCTAGGCCCAGCACTCTATGCACCATGGCACCACCTAGCTGCCCTACTGCCCATCTACCTTGTATCTATCTTAGATGCATGTAGTTATTTGCATGTTTTCTACACCATTATAATGTAAGCCCCTTGAAGGCAGGGACCATGATTTTGACTTTCTTTGTATCCCTAGCACAGGGGCTGGCATATAGTAGGTACTTAATGAATGCTTGTTGATGGATTGATTAATTGAGGAATAGCCTAGGACACATTCACAGATAAGGTCCCTCTCAGGTACTCTCTTAGGTAGAGGTCTATAGTTACATTCAGATATTCATATGTGTTCACATGTAGATACACTCACAGACACCCTAGAACACGTGTGCACTAACATAAACATGAAAGTGCTCTGTCAGCCCTCCTACATTCACCATACTGGATACATTCACCTGGCTGGATGCTGAGGCAAGCACACAGGCCCATCTGTGGGTTTGTACCTCTCCCTTGACATAAGAGTCCTAGGCGGGAAGCACCTTCCCCTGGAATTCCACACCCCCCTATCTCCCCTGAGGTCAGGGCCTGGCTTCTACTTTCACCTCCCCCTTGCCCTCACTGATACTACCTAAGGGGCCTGGGATCTAGGTTTTTCTGGGTCTTCCCAGTTCTGTATCCTTTCTCCCCCTCCCCACTCCCATGCCCTGGGAATCCTTAGCTCAGAATTCCCCCAGCCCCTCCCTGGAGCTAGAGTCCAGACGCAAGACTTGGGAGCCCCAGGGTTTCCTGGCTCTCCAGTGACTCAGATGCCAGGCCAGTGATGTCAGGGCTGAGGAGCTGGCTAGCAGCAGGAAAGAATGTATGAATGAGGTGTGGGGGGAAGGGGGAGGAGGATGGGATGTTCAGGACCCCTCTTACTTCTGAACAAGAGGACTGGCTGGCTGGGTAAGCCTCCCACCCAATAGGGAGTCCACAAAGTAAAGCCACAATATAGGAGGCTGGGAACTCAACAAGAGCTATTTGCCAAAAGGCTATTTGCAAATTGGGTATTTGTGATTTGGAGCACGTTTTCTCAGAGGAACAAGGTTAAAAATAAGGGTTAGTTCCCAGAACAGTTTACAGAAGGCCATTGAGAATTATGAAACATGAAGAATGCAAGCGTCCTTAGAAAATACTGGGATGGACCTTCCAAAACAGAATGTCAAGGCTGGGAGAGCTCTCAGGTCACAGAATGTCAGAAGTGGAAGGGATCTTAGAATAGAGAATTCAGGCCTGAGAGGGCCCTTAGAATCTACAATGTCAGAGTCCGGAAGGGCCCTTAGAACAGTGTCAGAGAGAAGGTCCTTTACAACACAGAGTGTCAGAGCTGGAAGGGCCCTTAGAACCCAGAATGTCAGAGCTGGGCAAGACTTTCATGACAAAAAAACCAGTACTGACAAGGCCTTTAGAGATCATCTAGTCCAACCCAAAGGCAGCTAGGTGGCTCAGCGGATAGAACGCTGGGCCTGGAGTCAGGAAGATACCTTCTTAAGTTCAAATCTGGCCTCAAAAATTTTTTGAGGGGCACCAGGGGATGGGGGAGGGAAGGAAAGACTTCATGTAGAAGCTGGTCCTTGAAGTGGGCCTTGTAAGAGAATAGGGATTCTATGAGGCAGAGACAAGGGAGGAGTAATTCCAGGATTGGAGCGAATGCCCGCAAAGGTAAGAAGGTGAGAAGAGAGCATCACATGAAGGGAATGGAAACCGGCCAGTGTGGTTGGGACACAGTAGGTGAGGAGTATGAAGCAAGCCCGGAAGCTCACTGTCCATTCTCAGCTGTGCCAGCCCAGGGAGGGATGAGGAGTGAGTGAATGAATAAATGAGCATTTGTTAAATGCTTACCATGCTAAACCTTGGAGATAGGGAGAGAAAAAAAAAATTAAGACAATCTCTTCTCTCCAGGAGCTCATGTGCTAATTGGGGAAGAAAGCTCAGCTCCGCGCTGGATGGAAAAGCCCAGAATGCCTTGGGTTCCACAGGTCATTGAGATGACAGTGTCTGGGGGGAGTTCAGGGAATGGAGGCAGGGGAGACGGGAAGGCTGACTGGTCCTTTATCTTGTCAGAAGGAGGGAGAGCAGTCAAACAGCCCAGGAGAAGGGGGAAGGCAAGCCTTCTTCCTGGGGTGCAGCTTTTCCTGATGCCTGGCTATCCCACGTGGGATATGTATGTTGTTGTCAAGTTGTTTTCAGTTGTGTCCGACACTTGGTGACCCCATTTGGGGGTTTTCTTGGCAGATATACTAGAGTAGTTTGCCATTTCCTTCTCATTTTACAGATAAGGAAACTGAGGCAAACAAGGTGAAATCAGTTACCCAGGGGCACACAGCTAGTAAGTGTCTCAGGTCTTTCTGATTCCGGGTCAAGTCTTCTATCCACTGCACCATCTATTCTGGACTAACTCACAGAATGCTTATCCAGCAGCGTGCTGTAATCTGTGTAATGTATATTATGGAGTGTGTGGTGAGGGGGATGGAGCTGGAACCAGACAGAGTCAGTAGGACCTGGGTTTGAATCCTGCCTCATACACTTTGTAACTGTAACTGTGTCAATTTTTTAGGGTCTCTGTATCCAGTAGCTAAGTGGCATAGTAGGTAGAGCACTGGGCCTGGAATCAGGAAGACCTGAGTTCAAAACTGGCCTCAGACATTTACCAGCTGTGTGATCCTGGGCAAGTCACTTAACCTCTATCTACCTCAGTGTCCTCTTCTGTAAAATGGGGATAATAAGAGCAACTACCACCCAGGGCTGTCTTGAGGATCCAATGAGATAATAATTGGCAAACGCTTAGCACGGTGCCTGATGCATAGTAGACACTTAATCAACACTTATTCCCATCTCACCCATACCCTTCCACATTTGTAAAATGAATATAAAAGGCACTTGCAAACTCCTTGCCTCCCAGGTGGCTGTGTAGAAAGCACCATATAAGCTTCACAGGCGTAAGAGTCAAAATGGAAATTTGTAGTTCTCTTCACACAGTCAGTTTTTTAGTTGTTGTGATGCTCACTAGGGGGTTTCTGTAGTTTTCTGAGCTCAGATGGACTGTCACTTGCCAGTGAGGACATCTGGAGGACCTCAGCTGGATCTCCAGACAATCCCACGTCCTCTAGGGCTCGGCATTGAACGTTCTCTGGGACGCTGGCAAAGACCTCTGAGGTGAAGCAAACGGTCCCTGTTTTCTGTCTCTTGTGATGTAAATAACCAGAGACCATTGAACAAAGTCAGGAATGAAGGTCCAGCCTTCTTGGTGTTTGTCACACAGGACATGCCATCTCTTGATTTCATATCTTTGTGGGTTGCTCTCTCTTTTTCATCTCTTGGGATCTCAAGCTTCAGCGGAAGCAATTCCATCTACCTTTCCTGGTCCACCCCAGCTTCTAGAGAATTCTTCCCCAAGGTTACCCTATATCTGTAGATACTGGAGAGCTCACTGGAGAGCCTCCAAGAAGCCAGGAAGACCTGAGTTCAAGTTGGACTTGTGACACATATTAGCTCTCTGACCACAGGCAAATCACTCAGACTCTTGGTGTTCTAGTTAACCCTTTGTTGCTCAGTCTTTTTTTTTTGTTTGTTTGTTTTTGTTTTTGTCTTTTTGTTTTTTGCTTTTTTAGCTGGGTCTGACTTCTTGTGACCGCATTTGGGGTTTTTTTGGCAAATACACTGGAGAGGTTTGCCATTTCCTTCTCCAGTTCATTTTACAGATGAGGAAACTGAGACAAACAGGGTGAAGTGACTTGCCCAGGATCACCCAGCTATAGTAAGTGTCTGAGGCCAGATTTGAACTC